CAGGGCCGGCTCTGCCCGGGCGTCCACGGGGGCCCGGCCCAGAGTGGCAGCAGGTGTCCGGAGAGCTGCCCTCGGCTGGCGAGTGGCCCACCCGGTCACGCCTGGCCCATGGCCACCTGGGGGCGTCTCGCTGCCCTTGGTGCGCGCTTCCGGCACACGTGTGCCCAGCCCCGCCTGAGTCCGCCCCGACGGAAGGGGGTGTCTGTCCGCCCCGGCGCCCCCTGGGCCACAGCACAGCTGGGGGGGCCCTGGGGCTCGGGCGCTGACCGCCGGCCGCCGGCAGGGAGCTGAGGCCCAGCCCCGGATGCAGCCACACTGGGTGACCCTCGGCCCTGTCTGTTCTCCGGGGAGACTGAGAAGGTCCCTCACCTGGTCAGCAAAGGGCGGCTGCAGCTGGCTGACGTCCAGGGGGCTGATCAGAGGGACACTGTCTGTGGCCACTCCATCCTGGCCTCCGGCGCCTTTGCCTGGTTTCCCCGAGAAGCCGCAGCCCAGCTTCACCATGGCGACAGGCCCTGTCCTGTGGAGCAGGCCAGGGTCACTGCCCGCAGGCCACGCCCTGCCGCTGGGGCAGGAGGACCTCGGGCAGCAGGGCCCGGCCGCGGCTGCGGACGGCCAGACCAGCCCCCCAGGGCGGGCTGCGAGTCCAGCCCCAGGCCTGAGCCGCACAGGGCGGTGCTGGCCAGCAGACCGCAGGCGGCCGGAGGCCGGAGCAAGGGGCAGTGCAGAGGTAAAGCCGGGTGCCCATCAGCCCAAGTTCCAAGGAGCAGGGTGTCCATCAGCCTGACCGGGCCCCCAAGTGCCCGACGCGCCCCACGAGCGTGACTGGGACGCCACCTCGCGGGTCCCGCTGGGGAGCGGCCCTGGCGCTGTGCCAGGCGGCCGGCGGGGCTGACCCCACCCCACCGGGGGGCGCACGGCTGCGGGGAGCTTCCTCAGGGAAGTAGCCCCCCCCAGCCTGTGCAACAGGGCGGTCCCCAGGGAGAGGGGGCTCCAGGCTCCCTCCCCAGCGAAGGCAGGCAGCACGGAGCGGAGCCCTGGCTGGGGCGTCTGTTCGGTTCGCGTCCCCCCCCCAACGCTCTGCTTGCGACCCCCTTCTTGGGGCGCGCAGGAAGGAGCTTAGCCCAGCCCGAGGACTCGCCAAGGCTCGCGGGTCCCCCCCCCAAAGGTCTACGTGTTTGTGTCCATGCCGGGCGGCAGAGCCTATTTAAAACAAGCAGGTTTGGGGGTTCTGGGGTGCCCCCCAGCGTGTGTGCAGCCATGGGGGGCGCTGGCCCGCAGCAG